AACCCTAACATTCCATTGGTGTGTTTCCTTCCTTTGTCTTGATGTCAATTGCTAAAGCCCAAATACTGTGAATTAATGATTATGTCCCACTTTTTCCTTGTTACGACAGGAAGAGTTGACTTTATAGAATTCCACAGATCTTTCAGATCTCACTTGCTTAAGGGTCGAAACCACGGGAACTGGTATTAATCAGGCCTGGCATTGACTCTTAACTCCTGTGTCACTAAATATGTGATCTCCCACAAATTCTTTAAGTTTCTAAGCTTCAGCTTCCTTCATCATCCATGAGATGGAGATAATTTTCCTACTTCATGTGGTTATGACAGTTGATTAAAATAATGTGCTCAAATTACCCAGGATGGTGTTTTGTGAGTGTTCTGAAGCAATTATTAATCAGAAAGTTTCTCTTTTTCATAATGTAAGCCTTTGCACTTGGTACAAGGGGGCTTCAAAAGTTTGTGGAAAAATGATATTAAGTAGGAGCTTACTTTGGTGCAAAAATTTGAGATTCATATGTAATGTTTTCAACATAGGCATTTCCATGAACTTTTTGAAGACCCCCCCCACCCCACCCCATGACTCATGTCCAGGAGCCTGATACAAAGTGATGACTGGCATTCACTGGCACTTATCCTTGAAGGGTACTAAGCCCAAGCCATTGATTTGCAGGGTCAGGATGTGCTAGCTGGGCTAAAAGGGGATGTGGTAAAATAGCCTCAATGCTGTTGGATATTAAGGGCTGCTATGGTGCTCACCGTGTTTTTGGCCCCATTCTCCATCATTGAACCTATAGTTGTTCTGGAATAAGATATACTAAGGTTCAGGCCAGCAGGCGGTGTGGTGGTTAAGACACTGGACTTCCATAGTTCAAATCCCAGACCTGGCAGCTTGTTTTCTCATTTTCCCTCTCTCTCTCGCTCTCTGAGTACACAGCAAATTAAAACTAATAATAATAAATAAAATTAAATAATTCTTTTTTAAAAAGATTTTAAGATATACTAAAGTAAGAGTGGGACTGGTTGATACAAATTAGCTAGTTGATCAATTCTCCTGCTCTTAGCCCTGAATTGGAAAACACATTCAAAAGAGCTTGAATTGGTGACGATCCCTAATGACTTCTGTCCTGCCTTATTCTTTCCACTCTCCTATCTTCTAGTCTTCTTCTGTTCCCCCCCACCCCCACCTTTTTTTCCTTTCCCTGAAAGGTCTCAGCATCTTCATAAAACTTTCTCTGATTATTTCAAACAAATTGGGTGTTTGCAGTACATCTAATCTCCAGTTCCCCAAGCATAATTTCACAAAGAAGACCTCCTCCAGGCTCTGTTCCCAAAGAATACCCTGCCAGGCAGCCTGTGGCACTTTTGTTCAGCGGGAGCACGTCAAGCACTGTATGGCTGCTGGGACTGTTCCTTTCTTTGGCTTAAGACTGGTTTCATTAACAAGCGTGTTCACACTTCAACCAGAACATTTAAAATAATACCCGTACAATGTGTTTAGTGTCTAGTTAATTATTAAGACTCTGAGCTTGAATTATTCAAGCAAAATTGATTGGGTTCAACCTTCTTCCTTCTCTTTGTGCTTTCTTCTTTTTCTTTTTTAAGTAAATTTTCCCTTCTCTCTAAATAATGTGGAGCAACCATTGTTATGAGAATGGGGAGAGGACTGGCAGCTTAATGCTTTTGTTAAAAGATGTATCTGCACTTCATATATATCCACTGTTAATTAACCTTTATGGAGATCTACCATGTTTTGGGTTCTCGCTCAAATTTCTTGACAGTTATTTAAAAGCGGGATATAAAGCTATCTTGGAGCCCGTTCTTCGGTGTACTGCACTTGAAAAAGTAGAAGGAACTGCTTCCTTGTTTGCGACTCCATCTCAGGGCCAAACAAAAATGTTAACATATGTTGACTTCACTATTATTGGGTCTTTGGGAAAGTCAGGACACACTTCTGCATAGACAAATACATTATGACTTTCTTGAGGATCTAATAAAAACCATGTAGTTGAAGGACATTTGTTGTCCTGAAATGATAGGTCATAATATATTGTTTGTAATACATTCCTAATTGCAAACTAGGGGCTTTAAAACTCTTTTTTTGGGGGGGGCTGGCAGGTAGCATGGTGGTTAAGGGCGCTGGACTCCCACATGGGATACTGCAGTTCGAGTCCCGGACCTGGTGGCTTGCTTTCTCACTTTCTCTCTCTCTCTGTCTGTCTCTCTCTGGTCAAATTAAAATAAATTAGCAAATAAAATAAATAAAGTTAAATAATAAAATAATTCTTTAAAAAATGTTTTTTAAACTATCATTTTTGTTAAAATGCACAGGAAAAAACTTAATAAAGACTAAAATATTCTCTATAAAAAGTTTTTGGTTTACTTATGACATAGACGAGTACCTTCCACAGGGTCTGTTCATGCGGTAATCCCCTCCCTCCAGTTCTCTAGTCCTTGAATTTTGTCCACTGGTATGTGGCCAGCATGTCTCCGAGTGTTTCAAGCTGACTCTAGAGACATTGGACTGGATTCAATGTGTGGGGTCTGCTTCTCTTGGGCAGTGCATTACCACTGCACCACAGAGCCAGCTCAATGCCAAAATAGTATCATCTGTTAAAATTAAATTTCCCTTTTTATTTTTTCTCCTACTTTTATAACACATGCAATATAAAAAGGTCATGGCTGGAAATGATGGACCTTTGTCTGAATCTATTTAAGAATCACTCATGTCAAGAGCACACTGAAAATAGTATTGTTTTATTTAAGCCAGGTAAGTATAGAGTTGGCAAGAGTAGTTTCACAAAGATTCACAATATTTTGTAAATCACAGCAACTTGAATAATTTTCTTAGCTTTTCTTTTTAGACTTTGTATCTACACCTTCATTCCTAGTCCTTCCTAAGCTTCCATATTATCGAGATGTAAAAAGATGCAATGATGGGCATTATAGAAAATGGATGTGGGAAAGGAATATAAAAGAATGATATTTTGGAGAAAGACTATTAAAAAGATGACAATTTTGAGAGGAAATAACAGAGAAGCACTGACACAGTATATTGGTATTAAATGTGGGCTTGTCCATGAACATTTTATAGAGAGCTCTCCCTAAAACCAAGATTCACAAAAACCTGGACGAGCCTACAGGCATCAGGTGCCTTGGCTATTCAGACTTGCCTTTGCTGCCCAGATTCTCGCGTTGTGCTACTGGATTAGTGTGTGCAAACAGGAGGGTGTAGGTTTGATGACAGCAGTGAACGGTCTTGACTCTGTCTGTGGGCTGAATCCCCCCACCGGCAGTAACCTTGGCTAGGGATAAACCCGCAGCTGCAAGAATAGTTCCGGAGAAGGAAGCACAGTGGTCCACGTAGGGAAACTTGTGAGAATAGAGATGAGCAATTCTACCCTTTGGGTGCACACGCACGGTTCAGATGGTAGCGCATACGACTCTATTGTTTTTGTCCTGGGAAATGACACAAGCGCTATATTTAGACTCCCAAAAATGATTACTCCGGAGGGTGCGAGAACCGGTTTTGGGGGCGAATGAACAGGTAATGGTCGGTGGGAGAGACACCGTCTTTTCCAGACCTGCTGGAAACGCGAGCTGTTTCTGGGCCCTCTCAGCAAACGTGTCAGACAGGTGGTGTCTCCCAGGACTAGGGAGCAGGTTCAGGGAGGCGAGGACAGCGGCGAGGCGGTGGCGCAGTTCCCAGCCGGCGCCCGCGTGCTGCCGCAGCTCCCCGGATCGGCTCCTCATT